CCGGCCACGCCCCCGCCACGCCCCCTGCCCAGGACCGGCCACGCCCCCTGCCCGCTCCGCTGCCTGAGCACCCCAACGCTGCTTCCTCTTTGCCTTTTTCTTCTGTTCTGACTCTGGCCTGGTCACCCGGGTGCTGAGCCCGTGCACTGGTGGGCGTGGCCTTGGATGGACTGGTCACCCAAGTGCTGAGCCCGTGCACTGGTGGGGGGGGGTCTCGGACGGGCTGGTCACCCGGGTGCTGAGCCCGTGTACTGGTGGGCGTGGCCTTGGATGGACTGGTCACCCAAGTGCTGAGCCCGTGCACTGGTGGGGGGGGTCTCGGACGGGCTAGTCACCCGGGTGCTGAGCCCGTGCACTGGTGGGGGGGGGTCTCGGACGGGCTGGTCACCCGGGTGCTGAGCCCGTAGACTGGTGGGGTCTCGGACGGGCTGGTCACCCCGGGTGCTGAGCCCGTAGACTGGTGGGGCCTCGGACGGGCTGGTCACCCCGGTCCTGAGCCCGTGGACTGGTGGCCGTGGCCTCGGACGGGCGCAGATGCCCCTGAGTTCCAAGCCAGCCCGGCACGGTGGCTCACCTGCCACCCTGGCTCCTCAGGAGGCTGAGGTCTGAGTTCCAGGTCTAGTGCTGGCACCAAAAGCAGGTCCTGAGCAGAGCACCCTGTGTCCCAGAGACACGCAGGCCTCCGCAGCCGCCCGCTCGTCCTCCCGGCCTCCCCACGGAGCTGTGCAGATTCACCGCGGCTCACAGCCCCGCATTGCATTACGGAGGCTTCTAGATCATCCTGGTGTGTGAGCGGATCAGAGTCACTCATCCTCTTAGCAGACTCAGGCAGGGCGGGATGGGTCCCCGGGTCCACCCTCACCGCTCACACAAGTGGGCCTTAGAAAGCAGCTTCACCAGGCGGGGCCGCGTCAGGACCGGAATAGCTGCGCCCTGACTTGATCTGCGTTCCACAAAAGTGGGGAAGCCGAGTTCTTCAGCGGTCGGCCTGGTGTCTCAGCACCGGGGCTTCGCTGGCAGGGCGTTTGCCGAGCCCCAGCCCCAGCCAGGGAGGGGTCCGCGTGGCTGGGGGGACACTCGGGACATCTTGAGAGGGGTGGTGGGCACCCACTTCTGCAGAAAGGGCGTCTCCCGCAGGGCTGGCAGAGGGCATCCCTGACGGTGCCCGAGGCAGCGGCTCTCACAGAAGCCAGGGGAGGAGGAGGCTGGGTTCCAACTCTGAGGGTCACCATAATGATGGGGCGCTGCAGGGCGCCTGTGATCTGGCCCGAATCGTGGAAAAGTTTGCACCGAGCTGGGCCCACAGAGCCAGCTCCGTGGTCTAATTTAGAACCCCAAGGCTGCAGAGTCGCGCCCTGGTTTGCAGTGATTGCAGGTTGCGAACACATGAGCAGAGAGTTTCCAGCCCAAAGCAAGGCTGAGGCCGGTCCCGGGCAGCCGGTGGAGGACGCAGGCAAGTGTGTAGTGTCCATTAAAACGCACTTCCTGCCGGTACGAAGGCTTGGACTGAGGGCCTGGGCATTGTCTGTGACCGCTGGAGCTCCTCCACTTGAACCACAGCTCCACTTCTGGTTTTTCGGGGGGTAAACTGCGCTAAGAGCCCCACCAGTTTCCCTGCCCGGGCTGGCTTTGAACCTCTGACCCTCAGCTCAGCCTCCTGAGTGGCTAAGATGCCAGGCGTGAGTCACCCGGCAGCTTCAGCACAGGAAATGACGGAATGGTGAGGATTCAAACAGGGCCTCGTGGGGCGATGGACATCAACCTGATCCCCAGCAGTTACCAGCCCTGCCGGGGCGCGCCCGCCCCTCCCCCTCCCCTGCAGCAGTGAGCTCACCCCAGACTGCAGGGCAGAGAGCCTGGCCGGCCAGGCCGCTCCTCTTCATCTTTCTGGCTACCGTCAGCAAATTCCACCCGGCCCAGAGGGATTTGTAGAAAATCCAGCTTGGAGAGGCCACGGCTAAAGCTGCAGGGGCTGTGTAGAATTTTGTTAGTGTGTAGACGGTCGGCTCTCTGGAGGCTGCGTGCGGGCTGGGACCTCGATCGGGGCTGGAAAGGGAGGTGAGTGGTTGGCCAGATCTCCCAGAGGCCCAGTCCTGCGTGTTGTCTCTGAGTCTGGCTGCCGGTGGGCTCGGCGGAGGGCCGTGGTGAGCAATGTCCTGTCAGAACCATTCCCCTGGGAGTTCAGAGCCGAGCCACAGGAATGTGGGGCGGGTGGTGACATCATTACATGGGGGTTTGGGCATGGCGCTGGTGGCTCACGCCTGTCATCCTAGCAATCCAGGAGGCTGAGATGGGAGGATCCTGGCTCTAAGCCAGGCTGGGTAGACAACTGCGTGAGGCTCTGGTGGCCTGGTGCTTTCTATACAGATGCTGTTACCACTGAGCCTCACCTCAGGCTGATTCTCCCCCTCCCCCGGCCCCCCCAAGTCATGGGGCTTGAACTCTGGGCCTGGGCGCTGTCCTTCAGCTCTTTAGCTCAAGGTGAGCGCTCTACCACTTGAGCCACAGCGCCACTTCCAGTTTTCTGGTGGTTCATTGGAGATCAGAGTCTCACGGACTTTCCTGCCTGGGCTGGCTTTGAACCGCGATCCTCAGATCTCAGCCTCCTGAGTAGCTGGGATGACAGATGGGAGCCATTTTCTTTTTCTTCCCATAAGCTGTTCTCATCCCACCAGCCTTCCCCCGCAGTCCCAGGCCTGGCGGCCTCCTTTCTCTTGGCTCCCAGGCCCGGTGTTGTCCACCCCCCCGCAGTGGTCCCCTGAACCCCTTAGCTGTGTCCTGCGGCGCACCCCCTCCCGCCCCTCACTCGGTGGTGTCCTGGGGTGAGTGTTTGGGGTGCTGTGAGGCGCTCAAGACACTGGGGCGCCCTGTGCTCCCCGCATCTCCCGCCAGGTGATTCCGAAGGTTCTGTCCTTGGTAGTGAACTCTGACCTCCGTCTTCGGGGCTGCCCAGGAGGCCTCCTCTTGCCCTGTGGGGTGACACCCCGCTTTGTCTCAGACAGCAAGGCTTGGCCTCGCACCTGCCAGCACAGCACCCTGTTCTCATTTAATTATGGCCTAAAACGGAAACTGAGGAAGCAGACAGATAAAACACGCTCCTTTCCCCTGCGCACGATCTCCATCTAGAGCCGAGATGAGATCTTGCTAAGCGGGGACAGATCCTTGTATCCGTGCTGGAACATTCCATCATCGATTTGATGAGTTATCCCAGGAAGAATGGCAGGGTGAGCGCCAGCGCTCTTCCTCCGCTGTGCGGTGAGAGGAGACACTGGAGGAATCGGGGCTCTGCCCGCCACCACGCCCTGCGACACGCTGTACACCAGCCCTGCCCCAACCACACCGCCAGCCCTTCCCGTTTGACGCGGCAGTCATTCTTCAGACGGGGTCCCATGCTCCCCCCCAGAGCTGGCCTCGGACTATGATCCTCCCAATCTCTGCCTCTGAGCCTCACGCCTGGCCACGGGCGTCTTCTGTCTCTGGGCCCTGGTGGAGCAGGCCTGCAAGCCCCTCCCTGCCGGCCAGCCTGGGACTCTGCCGCCGCCACGGGCCTGTGCACCCTCCACAGCCGGCCTCCTTAGGAAGACCTTGCTGATCAGGCTCGGAGTGAGCATGGAGCGCGCAGACGCCAATGAAGCAACATGGAAAGCACTCTGCTCCACCACGGGCTCACCGACGGCCATCACTGGATCCACACCTGGGGCTTGTAGAGCTCAGCATGGCCGCTTGGGGGACTGGTGCACATGCACACACACACACACACAAGCGTGTACACATATGTGTGCATGTGTGCATACATGTGCATACACGCACACATCTGCACATACACACGTGTACACACGCACACACGTATGCACACATGTGTATACACATGTGCACATGCACACATACGCACATGCACACACGCACACACACACTTTCCTTCTGCATCACCAGAGCTGGCTGCAGCTTCGTCGTTGTCGTTTCTTTGTCTTGGTGGTGGTACTGACTTTGAACTTGGCCTCCCACGTGCTCGGCTGCACTGGACGCTGAGCCACGCCGCCAGCCGAGTCTTTCGCTGCTCGTTGTGAGGATGGGCTCCCCCCCCCCCCCGGCCGGCTCTAGGTTCCCGGCATCGCGGCATCGCGGCATGGCAGGCGTGTGCCGCAGGCCCCCGGCTCCTGTGGAGACAGCGTCTCCAGGGCTTTTCTGCCCAGGCTGGCCCTGAACCACAGTCCGTCCAGTCTCAGCGTTGCACAGAGCTCAGGAAGCCAGCCCCGCACAAGCGCACCCCTCCACGGGCTCCAGCGGCTCTCCCAGACTCTTCTCCCCCCGGCTGGCCGAGGACACTTCCAAGCCTTGCCCCCTCCTCAGAAAAGAGAGCCGCTGTCACTCAGAAAGCGGCCCTTCCCCGGGCGCCGCGGCCTGGGGGTTCACGGGCCCCAGAGCCTATTTCAGTCCCTCAGAATGATCAAGCTGCTCTGTAGCAAGCTGCTGAGCCCCCCCCCCCGCCCCCCAGCTGCACTCCTTCGGCCCGTGGTGCTGGCCGCCATCCCAATCCCCTTGCTCCTCACCAAGAAGTGCGGCTCATACCTCCGGGCCTTTGCACATGCTCTGCCTCCCCATGACCTACCAAAGAGCTCCCTGTTTCCAGGTGCGCCGGGAGCGCGGGACACAGCCAGCAACCTGGACTGCTCCCCGGATCTGCCTGTCCCCCCTCTTACGTGTGACAGCAACGTCCCTGCCCCAGCTCCCCAGCATGCTCCCCCCACCCCACCTTCCCTCCCCACCCCAGTGTCAGGTTCTCGCCAGAAGTATTTAAGTACAGAGCAGGCGGTCTGGCAGGAACGCTTAGGGTTTGGAGAGCTTCAGGCGGCCGTTGCAGGGATCTGTCAGTGTCCTTTACCCCCGAGAAACAGCCGCTCTGAAGCTGGTCGCGTTGGCCAAGCTACAAAAGCAATTCAGTCATGACGCCGCAGTCTCCCGTTCAGCAAAGTCAGAGCGTGGGGCAGGCTCGAGGGAGAGCCAGGGGATCACTGAGCAGACAATTAGCCCCTGGACCCACGGGTGACTGCCGAGAGGATGGGTTAATTGTCTTCTTTCCGGGGCCGCCTCAGGGTGGATTTCTGCGGATGTCTAATAATTAACTGATCCGCAGAACATCCGTCTATGCCTTTGGCCTTTACCATTCCCACGTTAATTCCTGTATTTCATGGCCGGGGGCTTCTGTCCATGGAGTCATCCTGTTTTCCAGAGTGCCGTTTATATGAAAAGCAGGGACGAGGCATAGAGCAACTGTAGAGCTGAGGACGGTGGAGACATCTTCGCATTTCTCCCACTTGGATTTGTACCCCTCAGCCGCCCCTTTCCCAAGCCCGGTTGATGACTGCTGCCATCTTGATCTACCATGATAAACTCAATGCTACCGGGCACCAGGTAGCTCACGCCTATCATCCCAGCAACCCGGGAGACGGAGATCTGAGGATCATGGTTTGAAGCCAGCCCAGGCAGACAAATCAGTGAGACCCTTCTCTCCAGTTAACCAGCAAAAAAGCTGGGAGTTGAGCTTGTGGCTCAAGTGGTAGCGTGCCAATCTTGAGTGAAAAAAACCCAAGAGAGAATGTGAGGTGCAGAGTTCAAGCTCTAGTTACTAGCACAAATTAAAAAAAAAAAATTGGGAAGAAGTATCTTAGGACGTAACCTCCATTTCCCTGTGACCCTGTCCACGGACTCCACGGAGCGTTGCCTCTGCTCCCAGCTCTTTACAGGGAATTGGAGATAAGGATCACGCGGACTAATCCCAGCTGGCTTTGGACTGACGGTCTTGGGTCTTGGATCTCCGACTCCCGAGTCGCCGGGGTTACAGGCGTGAGCTACCAGTGTCCGGATTTTTTTTTCCCCCATCTGTTTCCTGCTCGTCTCTTAGTTCTTTTCAACCTCAAAACTTGCAAAGATTGAGATATTGAAATTCTTCAGGACATCTTTGAAGGGGAAAGGTTTCTAGTGGCAGAGATAAACCAGCCTTGTTCCCAAGCTGGGCCTGAGTTTATCTGGACACAGAAACAGCCTTTTACCATCCACACATAGAAACAAGCAGCCTTTCGCCGTGAATGTGGTGATTTGTTGGTCCAAAGCGATCGTGGTCTCTGTGGACCGAGTGAGAGATCTCTTTCCCCCAAATGTCCTTAACAGAGGCTGGTTCTCAGTGGATTCCTCTCACAGCCTCATTTGTGGTGACTCTCCCCGCCCCTTTTCCTTCCTCAGGGAGGAAGATGAGTATTCGGAATTGAGGTCGGAGCTCAGCCACAGCCAGCATGAGGTCAACGAGGACTCGCGAAGCCTGGACCAGGACCAGACCTCCGCCTCCATCCCCGAGAACCAGTCCACCATGGCCACTGCCGACGTGGGTGAGCGTCTCCCCCTCCAGCCCGCGCTTGGTTTCTGGGTTACAGAATGGAAGTTTAGCAACACCCATGCCCAGAGGGAAGCCTCGGCTCCTGCTGGAGTCGGGAAGGAACTTAATTACTACCTTGCTGGTCCAAATGGAACCAGGGAGCTGAATTAGCTCTTTCTCTGCCCTAATCAGCCTGAGTTACACACGTGTCACCTCGGCGGGGAAATTCCAGACGCAGAGAACCACGTAATACAGCGTGGACGCGCTTCCGTGCCGGCTGGGGGTTGGGATGGTGGGGGGGTGGAGGGGGGCTGGGAGGGTACTTAGCAGCTGTCAGATAACGAACAGGAATCTGAAAATCACTCCAGCACAGTGGTCCTGAGTGATGAAGTGGGCGTGCAGAGTCCGTGGTAGGAAGGTTTGGTTTGGAAACAGTTGAGAAAGCAGACCCCTGGTGTTGGGGGCTCGAGAGGAGCAGCCCCCACCCGTGTGCCCCGTCTGGACGGGGCCGGGCGCCGGCGGCTCACGCCTGCAATCCCAGCTACCTGGGAAGTAGAATCTGAGGACTGTGATCCAAAGCAGCCTGTGCCAAACGGACCACGAGTCTCTTATCACCAATTAACCACCAAAAAGCTGGAAGTGGAGCTCTGTCTCAAGTGGTAGAGCGTCAGCCTCGAGCAAAAAAGGGGCAGCACCTAGGCCCTGAGTTCAAGCCCTAACAGTGGAACACACACACACACACACACACACACACACACACACACACACACACACACACATTCTGAGGCCCCAGATTCTCATTAGCAAAACAATCCAGGCTGCCTGTTCTTCAGCTGCTGTCACAAGTCTCACAGAGAAAAGGGCCAGGAACAATTCATCTTTGGCGGGGTTTGCACTCAGGGCCTTGCTCTTGCTAGGCAGGGGCTCTGCTGCTGAGCTTTGGGGTACGGTGGCCATCGAAGGCCCCCTCTCCCCCCCCCCGCAGCGTGGGTGCGAGCCTCGGGCAGCGCCCGGAGGGCCATGCGTGCGCCCCGGTGAGCGGGATGTGTGATGACCACGCGTGTATCGGCCTCGCCCAGCCCCGTCCAGGTCCTCATCAGACCCGGGCAGCGCCGTCCCGCGCCGGGGCCCCTGGCCTTGGTGTGCGTCGGTCCCCCGGGTCTCCTCTGCCCTTCTTCCTGGCTTTGTGCGGACTCCAGCTGCCGGTGCCTTTGTGTGCGGGCTGGGGGGGCGTTGGGGGTGACCCCCCACGCGCGTGCGGCTCTCGGCGCGTTCCGCCCAGTGGATCGGTACAGAAGCGGGATCGGCCGCAGGGATCGCGGCCTGGTCACCGCGCGAGCGCCTTCCGTGACCTTGCCCCGAGGGGGAAGGGACGAAGCCAGCCAGGCGAGCGCAGATCGCAGCGGGTCTGTGTGAGGAGTCGCTCGGCGTGTCCACACTCCCGGCCTCAGTTTGCAGAGCAGATGCGCGGCGGCTGTGGCGTGGGTCCGTGGGGCTTTCTCGGGGTGATGGGGCCCTCCATGTGATCACTACTTCCACCCATGTGGTGGGGGATGGCGGCCTGCTCCTCTTCGGACCCCGCTTCAGGGATGGGGGAGCAGTGTCTCCCCTCGTCCCTCCTCCGCTCCCCAGGCCCCGCGGCCTCCCGTGCACGCCGTGTCTGGGGGGGGTCCCCTCGGCAGACCCGGCCAGCGGGCCCGCAGCCTGGACCCCACGAGGAGAGGCCGGGCTGTGTCGATGACCCACGCACCTCACTCCAGCCAACAGCTTGCTGGGGAAGCCCTAGCCGGCGCCAGGCAGGCGTGCTGCTCACAGCGCGTGCCGGTCCACGCAGCGCCAGCACGTGCTGCCCTGGCCAGGCCGCTGTGCCCAAACCCCCGCGCACCGCCAGGAGCCTGCCGCCCTCCACAGCCTCTGGGTTTTCCCGTCGGTTTGGTTTGGTATTTGGCCAGTCCTGGGGTTTGAACCCAGGGCCTGGACCCCATCCACGAGCTGCTTTTTTCTCCAGGCTAGTGCTGCACCGCTTGAGCCTCGAGCCATGTCTACTTCTGGATTTTTGTGGTTAATTAGCAATAAGAGCCTCATGGGTTTCCTGCCCTGGCTGTCTTCAAACTGTGATGCTCAGATCTCAGCTTCCTGAGTAGCTGGGATGACAGGCGTGAGCGACACCTGTGCTTTTCTCATTTGTCGTTCTTAAACATCTAATCAAGTTTCATTAATATAACTTTCGCCAACCGCCTGTAATCCTAGCCACTCCACAGTCTAAGATCTGAGCATCTTGGATCAAAGGCAGCTCCTGGCAGACAAATCTGAGACTCTTAATCTCCAAACCAGCCAGAAATGGGAGGCAGGCTCAAGTGGTATAATGCCCAGCCTTGAGAGAGAGTGCCAGACAAGGCTGTGCGGCTCCCGAGTTCAAGTCCCGGTATTGCCACAAAGATAAATACTAAAAAGACTTAAACTGTTCTGTCTTGGAGAAGATCCAAGTCCTTTCTTGCAGGAAACGCAGAGAGAGATTACAAACACCCAAGTCAGATCAGATAGTGATAATGGCCGGGGAGAAAAATACAGGCTCCTGCGAGGGGCGTGGGCAGCGGGCGCGGCCCCCGGGTGGGCGGAGCTCGGGGCAGAGCTGGCATTGGAGCCCAGCGGGGCTGGCCGGGGACGGGGTCAGCGGAGGAGACGCGGCGGGGCACACAGGAGCGCGCCGGGCCGAGGGCAGCCGCAGAGCTCAGGCGCTGAGCTTCGGGACTCCCCCAGGAGCTGGACAGGTGGCCCGCATCCAGGCCGCACGCCACGGACCGGGAGTTGATGGTTCTGGGGCGGGCCGGGCACCGGCGGGTCATAAAAGCTGGCCAGGAAGCAGCACGCGGGCACCCCGGGATCGAGGTCCGGAACCCTGGTCATGCTGCGTTCTGCAGGCTTGGGTAAGGAGAGTGGGGGCCTGGACGGGAGCAGGCAGGGGCAGGTGGCCGCGGTGGGCGGCTGGGAGCAGTCACAGCAGGGTTGGATGTGGAAGGCCAGCCGTCTAAACCGGAGGGCGTCGTGCTTGATTCCTGGTGACCGGAGTTACAGGCCGGCTGGGGTGCGGTTCTCCAAGATGGATCCTCAAGGCGCGAGTTTGAGCCCGAGGTGGAAAAGGGGAGAGCACTGTCTGGGCCGGAAGCCTCAGGCTGGTTTTCTCCCTGCGATCTGAAAATGTGGCCGGGAATGACGTGGGGTTGATGAAATCAACCTGGGAAATCCTGTACTCCACAGACGGGGCGCTGTGCCTCACGCCTGTAATCCTACCTCCTCAGGAGGCTGGGGCTCCAAGATCACAGGTCGCAGCCAGCCCAGGCAGGAAAGCCCACCAGACTCTTACCTCCAGTGAACCAGCAAAAAGCTAAAAGTAAAGCCAAGCCAGAGTGTGGGGCTCTGTGTTCAATCCTCAGAAAGCAGAGCCCTGCTCTCAGAGCGCTAAGGCTCTGCCGAAGCCTCACAGACGTCCGCACCACATCAGCGCCGCCGTGTTGGATAAGAAGGGAGCCCGGGCGATCCTCGCTTCCCGGGGAGAAGGCTTCGGGCTGGACAGAGCTTCCAGGCCTGCAGGATCATAGCGGCAGGCCTGTAGAGCGAACCCAACAGAGCGGTTTCAGGAATTTGTGTTGGATTTCAAAGGACCCCCCCCCCCAACAAAGCTATCTTCTGGGCACGCCTGAGTGCATTGCACTCCATCCATGACTCTGCCTTCTCTGGCCCCTGGCAGTGAGTGAGCCCGGGAAGCCTAGCTCAGCGTCCTAGACTTGCCCACGAGACGTGTGCACAAAGAGCAGCGTGGAATTGGTTTGAAACTGGATCCTGATAGAAGGAACTGGATGAACTGGCAAATATGGTACTTAGCAGTTGGCACATGGGACAGGAATGGTCTCTTACGGCTTCTGTTGTGGGGTGTTTTTTTTAATGGGTTGCATTGGTTATATTTTTGTATATGTGTATAGTGTGCTTTGACCTCATTCATATACACTGTGTGTGTGTGTGTGTACACGGGCACCAGATGGCTTTTTTTTGCTCAAGGCTGGTGCTCTTCCACTCGAGCCACACCTCCACTCCTGGCTTTTTGCTGGTTAAAGAATCTCATGGACTTTTCTGCCCAAGCTGGCTTCCTTTTAGGAGGAAGGGGGGTGCAGAGACCTAGAAAACTCCCAATAGAGTCCCTAGGCCTGGGAAGATGGCTTGTCTGGCATGCACGAAGTCCTGGGTTGCATTGCTCAGGACCACAGACACAGAAAAGGCCAGGAGTGGTGCTGTGGCTCAAGTGGTAGAGCGCTAGTCTTGAGCAAAAGAAGCTCATGGACAGCGCCCAGGCCCTGAGTTCAAGCCCCCGGACTGGTTAAAAAGAGTACCCAGGCCCGTGGGGTAGGGACGCTGGCCTAGGAAATCCCGGGCTCCGACACCCTTCCCTGTCACCCCGGCGAGCCCCCCATGGAGGGGCCACGTTCGTGGGGGTCTGCCTCGGCCTCACCCCGTGGCCTTCCTCACCCCCGCGCAGATAACTGCAGTGACCTGAACTCGGAGCTGCAGAGGGTGCTGACGGGACTGGAGAGCGTGGTCTGCGGCCGGAAGAGGAGCAGCTGCAGCCTGTCCGTGGCCGACGTGGACCGCCACATCGAGCGGCTCACCACCGCCAGCGAGCACTGCGACCTGGCCATTAAGGTAGGTAGGCCGGCCTCGGTCCCCCGCCCAGCCTGGCACAAAAGGCAGGACCGCACCCAGGGGGCAGTCACTGGGATTCGAACTCAGGGCCTCACGTTTGCTAGGCAGGTGCTCTACCGCTGGAGCCACAGCCTTCTTCGATGTTGAGGTTATTGTTCAGGTAAGGACTTAGGTGTTTTGGCCTCCAGCTGCGATCCTCTGATCCTGGCCTCCCAAATAGGTGCGCACCACCACATCCAGGTTTTTGTTGAGAGAGGGGCCTACTGGCTTTGAGCTCTGGCCTCCTGAGGAGCCGGGCTACAGCACAAGCCTCCGCGCCTGATCACGCCTCTGCGCCTCAATTCTCACTTCTGCTTCGCAGCCGTCAGCCTCAGGCTTCCCAGAGCAAACCGAACTGTTCTTTCTCCTTTCTAATTTTATGAGTCGTTTTTATGCATGCATACTGGGTTTTAGATGCATTTCTTTTCATTGCTGCTACTGGGTCTCGAACTCGAGGTCTGGGCACTGTTGTGGAGCTTTTTTTATGCACTGGTACTCAACCACTTGAGCCACAACTCCACTTCTGGCTTTTGTTAGCTGGCTAATTGGAGCTCAGAGTCTCAGACTTTCCTGCCCAGGCCGGCTTTGAACCACAGTACCTCAGATCTCAGCCCCCTGGGTAGCTGGGATTCCAAACGTGAGCCGCCCGGGCTCCCCACTTTCTGCATCCCTGACCTGACCCGGGGCCAATCCTGTTCACGCCATTCCACCTCTGAAGTGGTGCTGTCCTGCTGAGCCAGCATCCTGGCCATCGTGGGGAGGGGGGTGGGTGAGA